AAATGCCGTCAACTTGGCTGGGTAATAATTTGGAAAAGTCAGCATGTGGTTTGCGTCAGTGCGTCTGGCATGAAGTTCGGGGTTCGAATCCCCCAAAGGAGTCAAGCTGCGCGCCTGCGCATATACATATATATATGTATATATTTATAGATATATAAATTTGTTTAGCTAAAGAACGACCTAATTCAGTTGGCGAGTTATGTGACACATATGGATTGTGGAGTGGCAGGCGGTACCAGGTCTGCTGGTCGCAGCGGGTGGGCGTGACTGGCGAACGCCCTCGACTCCAGACACTCGCTCGCGTGAATTCTGGTTAATTACACAGGCATTGCAGTTGCTTTTGAAGTGGCACCCGCAGAGCGTGTTTGTATTGCATTTGAATTGAAACTCGATTGCGAAACAATGCGCACAACAAAGGTCCACACACTCGAGTTGGCCTTTGTGTGTTCCAGTTGCCTTCTACGAAGCAATAAGTAAATGGTTTTTCACCTTGCACACTCAGACATAAAGTCTGGTTTCTTTTTCGTGCCTGAGAGCGTCCTGCCTGCCTGCCTGCCTGCCTGCCTGCCTGCCTGCCCACCATTCGTCAGCTGTTCCACTTGGTTCAGTTAATCGAATCGCCACGCCCCCGCATGGCGCAACATTGTCCGGCCATATGCGGGCGCATTTTTGTCTATAATTCCCAGCCAAGAGCTGCACAAACAATTAAAAGAATAAAAACTTGACGCTATGTTCGAAAATTTGATACGCTTCAGTAGACCCACATTTACCTTCATTCATTCCTTCTTCTTCTCTTGGCCCCACTCTATGGGCAAAGAAAACTTGAATAACTTCGGACGTTGTTGTCCGATTTTCATCTCATTTTCAGTGTAATAATACGGCATTCATAATTTAGCATGTACGAAGGCCTTATCGTAAGGTGGGAGGTATTCAAAAAGTGGAATACTCTAAAACTGTGTATGCTTTACATGGGCCTTCATACTAAATTTGATAACTTTTGCTCCTATAAGCTTCGAGCTATGGCAACTAATTGGGCTATCGATATCGATTTTTATCGATTTCACGAAAACGAGAAACATTTTTGATGATTCAAAATAAACTTGAGCTAACCAAGCAACGGTTCAAGTCTCTTGCGTGCATATAGATCATCATTTATAGGGGCACAGGGTATAATCTAGAATTATATATCTTATGCCCTCGGAAAATGCATACAAAAGAATGACTCAATTAAGTTGCCTTCGCAGTTGGCAAGCGAAAAACTTAATTTAATGCTTAATTGCAGCATAAACAGCATCCCAACCCCGGAGGGGAGGGTCGCGCCCTTATGTTGTCTGTTTCAATTTAGACACCGTTTGATCCCTAAGCCATATGCCAGCCAATTGATAAGCAATTTTCCAATTCGCCAACAATTTACATTTTAATAGAAAAAAATCTACACAAAAGAACAAAATGAAAAGAAAGCGAAAAAAATAGGCAAATAATAGAAAAAAATATGAAAAGCCGCTCATGTAATGCCCCCGAAAAATTCAATATAAAAATTCAAATCATTCAATTATCTGCGGCTCAGCGCGGCTGTAGGCTGTCTTTTTCGATAGCGCCGCGGGGGCGGGGCAATGTTAGGGCGTGGTGTGCGAAAAAAAGGCAAAAAGTTGAAATCAATTTGGCAATTGAATTTTACAGACGCATGAAATATGCGACTTATATAAGTAAAAAAATAAATGCCGTTTATTAGAAAACAAACCAAATTTCCGTTTGCAACTGAGAAATTTCAATTTGTTTAGCTAAATGGAATTTTTTTTATTTGTTTTTCTTACCGAATTGAAGTGCAAAAGTATTGCGAAAGTCAGGGAGAAACCTGTTAAGCCCCGCTTAAAATGATATATGCGGACATTTATTTGATTAAATCGAACTAAAATGGAACTTTGTAAACATCAATTTATCAAACTGCAAACGTTTTAGTACAATAACAAGTTGCTCTTGTTGGATGTCGCCGACTGGAGGATACCCTGATAGTTGTAAAATGAAAGATATTTGTTTTGTATATCTATTATGGAAGCTACATTTCAAAGTTGGTGACTCTAGCTCTCTAAACCTAAGAAATTTGATTGCAAAGGGGATTCGATATCGATTTTTATCGATTGTTTGGAAAGGGGAAAAGTTATCGATTATCGGAAACGATCTTGTAATGCGCGGGTTCTAGAATGATATACGTTCAAGTCTCTAGCTCTTATAAGCTCTTAGATCGACGAGTATATACATACATATAGATGGACTGACAAACAGACAGACGGACGGACAAAGGGACGGGCAGACAGACGGACATGGCTAGATTGCCTGGGCTATTGATCCTGTTCAGGAATATATATACTTTATAAGGTCGGAGATGCTTCCCTCTAGCTGTTACATACATTTGCACAAAATCATGATATCCTTTTTACCCGTTTTCAATGGATTCATGGTATAAAAATGATTTTTAACAAGCTTCGCATATTCACCAGACTATCTTGTCGACTCCAGAGATATCCTTTAATTATATCCTTTTAAATATTTACATTTCCTTGAATTCGCTACACGTTTCGCGGAAAATATAGCCATTGCCGGCGCAAATAAATTGAATGTCAACTTCAGCCGCCGTTTCCATCAAAATAGACATTTCATCAGCTGCTTTCAAATCTTTTTGAAAACATTTTTCGCAATTTTCGCCAGCGAAAAATCCCAATTTCAATTTACAGCCATTAAATCAGAGCGCAGCCAGCGACAACGACAACAACACGAAACAATTCGCCTTTAAACAATGCGCTAAATAAACAATAAAATGTATTGCAAATAAAAAGAAAATTGCACCCGACGTCGAAATATACAAACAGGCAAGAAAAGCTAACTACGGCACGACGAAATTTAAATACCCTTGCACATAGAAAGCAGATTGCCGGCATATTTGAATACTCAGAATTGTTGTTAGTTTGTGCTAGGATTTGCAGACATGTTGGAAGTGTTTCAAGCTCGCAATAGCAGAGTTTGCTTGGGATAAAAGTAAGTTCGGTTACTTGACTAGAAGCTACCTAAAAAGAACAGCGCCAAGCAGCCTTTATAGTCATTCTAGCTTTCTTGTGCTTCTTCTTGCCTTATTCCCACACTATGTATAATGCTTTCTTAAATAACTTCGATGTTTATAATCCGATCTTTATGAAATTTACAGGCCTTAAATATGGCAACCAAATGCGAGTACACAGCTAAGCGCGTGGCTCTATATTTTATGGTGAGCTGTTCTTTGTCCAATTTTGGGGAAAACGGGAGAAGTATACAAAACGTATATGTTCTTTATTTATATATGCTATAGCCGCATCTATATACCAAATTTATCTGCTCTGGCATTCTTTTTGGCATTGGTATTCTTCCGATTGTTCTTTCGAAAACCTGCTTTAAAAATCGATAAATAACGATGTTAAGGAAATGGGGTGAGATTTCTACAAACATAAATTACGTTTGATATAAGAGAGGACGAAATATAGACATTGATATAGGCAGATAGACAGGCATATGGCTAGCTTGACTGATTAAAGCTATATATCCCTTATATCATCGAAAAACATTGATACTGCGCTTCACATACATTTGCAAAAAACTATAATGCCTTTTTCTTTACCATACTACTTCTATTGGAGCTCTATGGTATAATGTAAAGGCTGATCAAAAATCGATATAGAGTATGCTATAACGGATACCGCGCCAAATATATTTTAAACCCTCTGCAAGTGTGCACAAAAATCGCGAAAAATGCTAACACAAGATTTTATTAGCTATTTTTTTTATGTGCGCGCACGTACGCGTATCTATGAGATACGATATCAATTTGGCATTGAGTTACACATGACTGACAGGTAAACGTTGGCTGGGCAGCTATTGTGTGTCTCTGCCTGAGTGTGCGTGTGTGTGTGTGTGTGGGTGTGTGCGTAATGAGCTACTCGTGCGCCTGGCAACTGGAGGAAAACAAAGCCGCCGCCTCGTTGCATCTAAGTATCTTATGCATGTAAGTATCTTTTGCATGTAAGTATCTTTTACGTATTTAGCGCTTGGTTGACTCTTTTGAGGCCCAGTTACCGTTGCCGGGCAGCTGTTTGGCTTAAAGACGCCGACACGCCCACCAAACAACAGCAGCTCGAGTATATCTTGTGAATCTGTTGAGGTCTGTGCCATCCACAAATGCACTAAGCAGCCAAGCAAACCGCAACGAGCCAGCAACAGGCTGTGAAGTCCTGTGGGTGTGATGAGGGTGCGGCTGCAGTAGCCGAGAGTATCTCTTGTATCTGTTGTATCTGCATAGCTATCATAGCCCGAGACTGAGTCTCAGCTTAATGCGCTTGCATAAACAATGCGCATATAACTGTAACTGTATCTGTATCTGCAACTATATCTGTATCTGCAACTGTATCTGCATTTGTAAATGTATCTGTATCTGTTGCTGTAGCTGTGCACTAAGCGGATTTACTGTAATGTCATTCAGTTGGCCAGCGACCCAGCTCAGCTGCTGAAAAGTATGCAATGCGTCACTAAACTGTACCATAATTAGATAAACGCTACGTCGAGTAGGCATACGGCATTGGATTTCCATGCTCACAGTTCAAAGGTTGCCAAAGGCAGCTAGCTCTAAATCAAAATACAATTTCATTAAATTTAAAGCAATTTGAAATGAAAACCTCTGGGGTCGAGCCAAATTACAAAGAAATCAAGTTGTCACGACAACGTCGTCCCAAAGTCAAAGCCGTCACATATGGCTGCCCATTGGGAACAGCAGCAAGGACCTGCTGCCCATTGTTGTTGTTGTTCTTGGCAACCACCAGTTGCATGGCCAAGTAAACAACTGGAAGAGCGATTGAAATCCAGCGCATGCGTCCTGGTGGATGCCAAGTTTGGTGGCCAGCCACAGCGCCAAGTTTCAAGTTTAGAGTGAACAAAATGCCTGAACACAAAACAGTTCCTTGCGCGCTTTCAACTGCAACGGTTGGCCAGGCTCCAGTACAAACAACACACAGTAGAAAAAGTATCTCAAATATTCGTCACGTATCTGAAGCGTGTTCGTAACTCGTATCTTTGGCGCGTGAAAGTGTCAGCAAACAGAAACTGAGCCCAGCAAGGATAACGACAAAATAAAATATAAAATAAAAAAAACTGGTATGCTACAAATCTGGCAATTTGGCACAAAGGAGCCCGAACTGCTTAACTTTTAATGTGACGACGGGGCTAATTTTATGGCCAGCCTGCGACTGATAACAGCGATAAGATAAGACAAAGTGTGGCAAATCAAATGCCGCTCGTAAAAATGCCGCGTTCGCCTTTTGCCAAGTGTTCAAATTTATGCTCGAAATCGTAATTGAATTTTATGCGCAAAGTTGGCGGCATTTTGACCGATATCCAAAACAAAAAAAAAAACATTTACATTTTGTGGCCTCGATAACGGCCAACACTTGCGCGCAGAGCCGGGCAACGGAGTCGCCAGACACAAAAAAAAATATAAATATAAAAGAAGTGGCAAAATCAGTTAACTTTATCCAGGTAAGTTTTGGTTACACTTATTGGTAATTTGTCAGAAATTTGTAAATATTTTTTAAACTTTTTAGAATGAGTATTTTAATCCTTTTGCAATCTCCGCAAACAGTTAAATTTTGGAAGATTTGTTTTTGATGTGCCATCTTTTTGTATATCTAGTTTATTTTAAATGACAAGCAGTCTAAAAGACTGCAATAATTATAAGAGTTTCTTCCCGTAGGTCTAAATTGTTGCTTGACATTTTGCAATCTATGTAAGTAGCTTCCTTTTGGAAGATCTTTTCAGATTTTTGTATATAGTTTTTTCCTTAAGTTTCACACTCAATCTAAAGATGTATAAAGATGATCTTATCAATGATTATAGCCAGTATTTAATCGTTTTGGAACTTCTGTGAAGAAATAGTTAATGGGTGTTTTAAATGTTCCCAGAGTTCTTAATAAATATACACAATCTCCGCCAGTCTTTGGGAATGATAAATCTTTAGGCATACTTCTTTGACGATGAGTTCTGTATCCTATCTTTAGGTATAGCCGCTATTCATCTTTTTGCAGTAGTTTTCAAAAGTGTTCTTATCAATAGATATTTCCTATATTTATTTCTTTCCCACAACTGCCAAGAGGTACACTTTAAGAAATTGTTAAAAAATTGTATAGATTTTCCCAGAAATCTTAATTGTAATCTACAATCTTTGTCAATCGGTGGGAATGATAACTCATTATGCTCAGTAGTGTGACGATGCGTTCTAAGAAATCCTATAAGAAGGTATAGCGTGTTATTTAATCATTTTGAAAAATCTGTAAATAGATTCATTTTGGAAGATTCTTTTCGATTTCTGTTCCTATTTCTTACCGATTTTAAGAGTTTTTTTTGTGGATTTTTGTATATATTTAACATTATATTTCCTATATTTAGTTCTTTTTCCATATCTGCCAAGAGATACGTTTACGGATTTTACAGATGTTACCAGAGCTCTTATTATTTATACACATCCTTTGACAGTCTATGCAAATAATAAATCTTTGGGCACACTTATTTGGGCACCAACCAAAAGTTGGAGATTATGTTTTAAAGTGAAAATTAAGCTAGTGTCTTATTGGGACCTCTAACGGTACCTGTTCATAGGTATTAGCTGTCCTTAATCCTTTTGCAACCCCAACAAATGGAGAAAGTTCACTGACCTTGACTTTGTGCCATCCTCTCAAAAGGTCCTTCAAAGCCTGTTTATGCTCTCTTCTATCTGCGATATCTCATTATGCAAACATGCCGACTCAACTGCAGTTTGTTATACTTCTCATTCCTGCACCACTCCACAACCCCCCCGTCCCCTGTACCCCTGTCCCCCTGTCAGCTGCCTTGTCGTCACCTTGGCTGACACTCTGGTTGACATGTCGCGCAGCGCTTGCCGCATATTAAAACGCATCGAAATGCAACGCAAAGTTTGCAGCTGTGAAGAAACTCTAGAAAACTCTTTCAGTTGTTCCCCAAAGTTTACACCAGCCACTTCGGGGGTGCCCACGGCTGGTTAGCTGAAGAGGGGGGGGGGGGGAGGGGGCATGGGGTGCTAAAGGGTCCTTGTTAAGCTGTCAACATGTTTTGAGTAAACTGTTACATTTTGTCAGCGCGTTAAATATTTGTGCCTTATTTTATATGCAGCCGGGCTTGTGGCGAAAGTTAACTAACTTAAAGTAGAGTTCGCCAGCTGAAGAAGAAGAAGAGTTAACTATTTAACTGGGATTTCCAATTTATATATTCAATTGAAATATGATCTTAATACTGAAAGGAGAGCGTAAAGTCTAATGATAAATTTTTGTTATTACTTTATGCCCAGCTCCAAAGACATTGTTACATTTTATTTTATTTTAATTGTGCAACATATACTCTTTGATATTTATATAATATTTAATAATATTTAAAATGACAGTAAGATAAAAAAGAAACAGACCAGAAGCCTTGACAAAGCTTCATTTAGAAGGCGAACTCCTGTGTAAAAGAAACATCTTGTTTAATTTATCGGTAACTACAGAAAATTTGCTCATTCAAGCAAATTCCAAGCCAATTCAAATTCTGTGTAACACACAAAGGGTTTTTTTTGGTTGGTTTAATTTGTTACGTATTTTGTCAATAGATTTGCTCAAAACCAGCCCTGAAGAAAAGTTGTAGAATGAAACCAATGAATGGTATGTAAAGTTTATTGATTGTCGGAGTATTGTGCATACTCTGTCTAAGCCCTGTGATTTGATTTAGTTAATAAAATTGTAATTAAAAGCATTTAAAATAGAATATTATCCTTCACTGTTGGCAGCCACAACCAACAGAAAACAATCCATCCGATCATAAGAAAAGAACGACATTTTAAATCTCTCGAAGTTCTGTCTCAGCGATTGACTTTTTGAAGAGATTTGCAAGGCACCAAAAACAGATTTCTCTCACACAATCGATAGTTATCATATTTAGCTTCTATAAGACAAATAGATATTCTACAAAGAGTTTCAGTTTTGAATCTTTTCCCTGACGAGATGCAGCTTGTTTTGCGAATGTCACAATATACTTCAAAAGAAAATCCAATTAAGTTAATCGTTTATTCCTTTCATTTGTTTTTTATGCCAGTGCCAATAATAATTTGTTCCGAAAATAAAGATCTTCACCGTGTCTTATATAGAATTCTCAATGGGTAAAGAATTCCCATATGCTTCAATTTAGAGATTGAGTTTCCCTAGTTGCCTACTATAAAGCAGTAACAGGTAACCGGTAACAGTACTTCAACACGAGCTTGAACAACCTGTCTGATTAAAGCTCTTCAATTTACAGGCAACAATACCCAAATACCATACATAGCATATAAATGGCAGCCGTCGTTAGTTAGCTTCAACTTGCAGCCAAAATTTCGTTAAAGCATTTGTCAAATTGGCAACTTCAAGGTGCATGTTGCAAGTAAATGATATTTGTAGACACGAGGCAACCGCAGCTGACTTTTGCAAGCGTCGTCAAGGCAAAACGTCAGCGGTGAGCCAAAGGAAATGTCAGCGCGGTTTGGCAGTCGCAGCCGCAGGTGCAGCTGGGTGAGGGGGTTGAGGCGACGGCGGCGGCAGGTGTTGCCTGTCAGCTGCATGAAAAAGCCAGCACGCCTTTCAGCTCGCCTGATTCCCCCAGGAAGTCGACATTCGCCCAAGCCCAACCCAATCCACTTGGCCACCCCTTCCAAATGGTGTCAAGTTAATCAGCGTGCGACAGTTTCTTTTTGTTTCGCTTTTTTTTTTACTTACTTTTTTTTTTGGTGTGTGGTTTGTGCAGCTTTTTAGCTTTTGAAAAGCAAAAATGTTCGCGCCTGCCACACGGGCACAAGCTCTGCCATAGAAACCGTTAATAAGGTGTAAAAAGCAGAAGGGTGTAAGGTAAGGGCAGAAGCGTAACGAAAAAGTAAAAAAGTAAAAAGAAAAACAAAAGCGCTTCATAAAAATGGCGGCTGTTTGTTTAGCTCTGAGCTGCAGCCCGTCCAAACGCTCAACACTTTTATTTGCCAAGGTTTTTGCCGCTGCTGCTGCTGCTGCTCTTGGCCATGACTTTGCTGTTGCTTTGAGTAGCCAACAACAACAACATCGACAACGACAACAACAACAACAGCAGCAGCAACAGCAATTCAAACGCCTGGCAACAATATTGATACCCTGTACTAAATACCCGATAGGCAGAAGGAAGCATCGCCGACATCCTAAAAAGGTTAGATAAAGTAATTGGACTCTTGTCTGATTAACATGTATTTAGAATAGTTAAAAAAATTATTATATTATATAACATTTTTGTATGCATAGCCTTGTTCTTTGGTATTTAGCCACATACGAATGCCATAGTCAAGCCCTACAAATTACAAAAAGATCGAATCATAAGAACCGAAGTTATTAAAGTATGTTTTTAGATCGAAGTAGCGTCTACATAAAGTGTCTACATAAAAGCATGTTAAAATATATTTTCAATAGCAGCGCCTCTCTGGCTAAAGGATATCTTCGAGTCGTGCTCTCCTAACTGGATCAAACACTTTTACTAGTTTGTTGTATTTTGGTTGCTTTTTGCAGCTCAAATGAAAATCTCGAATGAAGCTTTTAAGTAAGAGGCTTCACACACACACGTGCAATAATTCACACTGCTGTTGTGTAGCATTGGCAACAGCGAAACGCTTTACAGCCTCCTGCCTTTCTTTTTTTTTAGCTCTATCTCCCTCTCTTACCCTCTCTTCTCTCTCTCTCTTGGGCCCACCTGCTGCGCCCACTCAGGCTTAAACTGATGTTGCTGTTGCTACTCCTTCGGCGTTGACATTTTCATTCATCGTCTTGGCAACCGTAATTAAAATCGTTTTAATTTACTTTCCCAGCACAAACACACACACACAGTAACTCACACACACGCACATATGCAGGCAGTAACTCACACACACGCACTCTCTTGAGCCGGCGGCAAGTGTAGCATACTTATCTGGGCGCTGCTGCTATTCCCTTTCCGCCTGGCTTTATGTTTATCGACTTTTGTTAGTCGACGTTTTTGTTGTTGTTGTTGCTGTTGTTATTTCAGCCTCTCCCCTGCCTCATTATGTGGGCGTGCAAATTGCTGCATATTCATTTACCGTTATCTCGCAGTCGTCAAGTGAAACATATACAAATGCGCCCAGCAGCAGCAGCAGCAGCAGCAGCAGCAGCGGCAACAGCAGCTGCTGCCCCCAAATCCCCTGCCCCTGCCCCTGGCAGCATGGCAACACAGCCACGCCCAGCCAGCTGCGCCTCTTAATAACATAAACTTCTTTCAGCTCGCCCTCGCCCAAGTTGAGTTAATGAAGAATTTCCATGACGATGTCGCCCCAGTTCAAGACAGAGTCCCTATGCTAAGCATCCTTTTTGATAAGACGGCTGCCCACCTGCCTCGGCTACAGCTCATTATGTTGCCGTTATTCTTGTTCTTGTTCTTGTTGTTGCTCCTGTTGTTGTTGTTGCTCGGGCAACGCTCAAGTGCGCATCAAA